CAAGAACAGAAAACCAAACACTGCATGTTCTCACTCATAGGTGGGAATTGAACGAGATCACTTGGACACAGGAAGGGGAACATCACACACTGGGGCCTATTGTGGGGAGGGGGGAGTGAGGAGGGATAGCATTAGGAGATATACCTAATGTAAATGACGAGTTAATGGGTGCAGCACACCAACATGGCACATGTATACATATGTAACAAACCTGCACGTTGTGCACATGTACCCTAGAACTTAAAGTATAATAATAGTAATAATAAAGAAAAAAAAAAGTTAAGGTCAAGGCCAGTCATTATTTGGAAGAGCTAGAAGAATATGTCATCAGTCAGAGTCAAGCTCTAGATCTGAGAGCAAAGAGACAGTATGTCCTGTCCTTTCCATCCTCCATCCTCCTGCCAGGGCAATGCCCCAGAACTAATAAGGGCCTAGATACCCATGAACTTAGGGTATAGGATGAGAAGAAATGGCCTTATAGTATGTCTAGACAAAAGACTCTACAGCAACCTCACAGGTTCCCATGGTTTCTACAAGGTAGAAACTAACAGCTGAATTTATTTGGCTTCAGATTGGAAGAATAGACTACCTCCTGGATAGTTAAAAGGAGACTGGAATTAGCTCTCAATGAGAACCTGGAAGGAAAAACAGACATGAGCAATCTACATGAATGAAGGATAAATGACTGAGGACCAGAAAGACCAAAGTACGTATATCCCAGCAGATGACAGCAGAAGACCAGATGCCACACTCTCCCAAGCCTCATCCTCTCAGCACAATTCCAAGGAGAGGAAGGGTAAGCTTCTTTCATGGAAAGAAAAGACATTTGTAAAAGAAATTGAACAGTACTGTGAATCATAAAGGAAGGTGTTAATTGCACTGACTCTGTAGTCTGAGGTTCATACCCAATTCATATCCTTTACATTTGGATTGATCCTCAAACATCTAATGGTGTGTTGTACAAACAGTATGAACTCTCTAGCTATTTGACACATTTATTGACTTCATTCTATGTTTGCTCAACTCTCAGTGGCCGTAGCTTTCTGTGCTCTCCAATATGGTAGCCACTAGCCATCTGTGGTTATTGAATATTTGATATGTGGCTAGTATGGACTGAAATGTGCTATACGTGTAAAATACACACCAGCTTTTGAAGACCTAGCACAAATAACAAGAATGTAAAATGTCACATTAATAGTGTTTATATTTATTGCAAGTTGAAGTGATAATATTTTGGACATATTGGCTTAATAAAAATATACCACTAAAATTACTTTCACATGATTCTTTCCACCTTAAAAAAATATGCCTACTGGGCAATTTAAAATTGTATTATGTGACCTGCATCACTTTTCTATTGGACAATGCTACCTTATATGCTCACTCATGTTGATTTCATTTGCTTTCACCTGAGGAGCCATTATCACTGCTTAATTTGTTCCATGTGCAAGCAGACACTCAATGACTTTATAATGATGATGTCTAACATTTCCTGACAAAGTGTGCTGGAAATTATACAAATTTCTTGTATCTCATTTCTCAATGATAGGACTTGGGAATAATCATTGGGAATGATTGCTCTGTCTGTAATTAGTATAAAAACGAGGAGATTTTCTTTACAAGAACTAAGACAACATTTTCTTAAAAATGCTTGGTGGCTTAAATGTAAATAAATAAATAATGAATAATTTTTTCACAAGACAATGAGAACCAGGACAATGAGAAAAAAAATCATCCCAAGTGGTTTATTTTGGTTAGATTTATTACCTAATTCATAATGTTATGTAATATGCAGTAACAAATTAAAAATAGGGCAATTTGAAGAAATTTTACTTATAAAGGTACCGGGAATCACACAGACAGTACAGTAATCTAGAGATAGTAGCCTCTGAGATTTTGTGCCTAGAACTGAAGTTTGACATTTAGAAAGTTTCTGAGTCCATTTGGGCAGCTATAGTGAAATACCATACATTGGGTGGCTTATAAACAACAGAAATTGATTTCTCATGGTTCTGGAGGCTGGGAAGTCCACATCAAAGTGCCGACAGATTCAGTGTCTGGTAAGGGCCTACTTTCTGATTCACAGATGAAATTGTTTCACTGTGTCCTCACATAGTGGAAGGAATGAGGGTTCTCTTTCAGGCCTCTATTATTAGGGCACTAATTCCATTCATGAGTGCTCCAACCCTATGACTTCATCACCACCCCAAAGCCCCGCCTCCAAATACCATCACCTTGGGAGTTAGGATTTCAACCTATGAATTTTGAAGGAAGAGAAACAATCAGACCACAGCAGAAAGATGTGAGCTTCACTTATGGGTATGACCAGCTTTAGGGAACCCCTTAAGGATAGGAGCAGGAGAATGAATACTCTGACTTCACTTTCCTCTAATTCTCTAATCTCCTGCTAGTGTTCTTCAGTAGCCAAACCCAGTCAGAAACCAGAGGGCATTGGAGCCTTGTTGATATAGTTCACACCGATCAGCATCCCAGAGCAAATCACAGGACAAAGGAAAAAGTGTACCTATACAAGAGCAAACAGAAAATATATGGCATATTCTGTCTTTTCAGAATCATTTATCATACTGCTAGACAAATAGATCACCTTCTTTCCCTCATCCCATTCTCTCTTAAATAGAAAATCAAATCTTAAAACCTGAATAGAAGACAAAAGTCCACAATCAGTGCTCTGTTTCTCACACACTGTGAGCTTTCCTCAGAAGGTATTTTACCCCTATGGCCCAACTCAGCGTCTACATATGCTGACGGCTCTAAAATCCATAGCTGTGCGCCCAGGTCTCTTTCCTGCCCTCTAGACGAGCAGATCCAACTGTATGCTAGTTAGCTCCCGCAAGATGCCTCACAGGCTTGTCAAACTAGTGTATTCAAGAAAGCACCCACCACTTACTGCATAATATTCTGATAGAGTTGCAATGCCAAGGAGCATGTTTTCTGTTCACTGTCTAAAATGATGACAAAGTTTAGAAGAGGCTGTTTTAATTGTGATTAGGAGCAGCTTATACTAATTGTGGTTATTATAAAGATATGAAAAATCCATATCATCGTCCATGGTTCATACACCAACACATAGCATGGGACTTTTGCCACTTACGATGTCCTCTATGTTAGTCTTAATTTGCTTTCACCTGAATAATTGCACTAGTCAATACATATTGAGTACTTCCTATGTGTCAGGTATTTGTGCTCTTAAATTTCAGTCTCACAAGAACCCAGTGATGAAGATGAAATGGAGGCTTGTAGGGGTTGTCATCTCCAAGGACTCATAGCTGATAAGGCGTGGAGGTGAGTCTTAGATAGCCTAACTCCAGAACGTATATGCATGTCATTCCTCTGCAATACTGAATACAAATCATTCTTACAGTACAGGGAGGAGGGGTTAAAAGGTCACGAACTAGGAGCTCTGCTGAGTCCAACACTGAAGATGCTAAGGGTAAGGAAAATATAATAGGTCTTGAGGAAGCTGGAGAGGAGAGATTATAAAGTAAAAGTAGCTGAAGATACAGGATACAAGATTTTTTAAAAATTGTTCTTTTCCTTTTAAAGAAAAACATTAGTTAAGCATGCAGTGCGCTAGGCATTGGGGATAGAAAAGCAATGAGGACAATTTCAATCTTGTGAGAAAGATAGGTAAATACATTATAATAAATTTTAAAATATAGATTTGTATGCAAGGTTCACAGAACATTAGAGAAATTATAGACAGAATTTATTCATTCATTTTATTCATTCAAATGGCATTTCTTGAATACCCACTGCATTATGCTTGAAGCCGGAGAAACAAAAAGGGCAAACATAAAGTCATTATCCTGAAGAAACTCACAGTCTAATGAAGATGCTTCTGGGGTGCTGGGCAGGAAGCAAGGATGGAGCTACACGAGCACAGAAGGATTACATAGCCTCGAGTGCTCAGATAATGCCAATTTAGTGTTACCTACGCAAAAAGTTAGGGCTTTGGGTTGGCAACAGTAGAGCATGCTACAGAGGAGTGCAGTGGACAGGTCCAAAGGGCTTGGACTTAACTATGACAACCCAAATTGTTGCTGGTGGAACGCAATGCAAGGGAACATGCATTTTCCTGCAGCATCAGTTTTGTTATGATGTGGAGCACAAAATCATGCTTTTTACTACTTAAATGCGGATATACCGTGAAGAATGCAATAACATATGAGATTCATACAATATGACAGGAAACGAATTTCCACAGCTAGGCTTATGAGTTAGCCAGATAGGACAGGAAACTACAAGAAAATCCCACAGCTGGGCATGCAGATGGCTTTAGCTCTCACCCCTGAAGACTCGGGGGGAGGAGTTCAGAGTCTTCAGCTCTCCGGGTATCTAGGGTAAGATAGTTGAGGAACAATGCGTATTAAGTGTGCGAGAAAAGCGTTTAGGAGTTAAGCGCATGGGTTGGAGAGAGGTTAGGGCGCAGGCGACTGGGAACCCGTCATCTTCCCTCTGCTCTCTGGACCTCTTAGTCGAAAAACATCCTCCACCAGGTGCCCCTTTGTCGCCAGAGACAGCGTCTGTAGTTCGTGAGCTGCTCGCTGAACGCCTGGCGGCTGGTTGCCTGGGCAACCCTCTTCCGGGGCTCCTCCGCGACCTCTTACTATTGGTTTAGAAGACGCAGCGTGCGTCTGACGTCTTTGCGCGGCGCGACCAGATTCGGGGGCGGGCCGCGCGGAGCCTTATTTCCCCGAACGCCGGCGCTCGGTGGCAGTGGCCGCGGCTGTTGGCCCACCGAGTGCCGGGCATAAGCTCCCCCGGCCCCCGGGGGCGGTGGGGGGGGGGGCAGCTTGTGTGCCGGTCGCGGCGGGAGAGAGGCGCGGTAGGAACGAGTCCCCAGAGCCGTGAACCGCGGGTACGGGTGTCCAGTCCGCGCTGTCGGCCAAGCCGGTTTGCTTCCTGATCTGTGGCTAGGGCCCTGGGACCCCGTTGCTAAGGACCCTTGAGATCGTGAGCACTTGGAGTGTGCCCCTCCTTTCCTGGGGTAGAGGGTCTGTCGAGAGTATCCTTCGTTAACCTTAATTAAAACTGATAAACTCCTCCTCCCTCGGCCCATTTAAATAATGTTTTTTTGTTTTTCTTTTTTTTTTTTTTCTGTGTCTTCCTCTTTTGCTAACTTTGATAGCATCCTGGCCCTGGACTAGTCTTTAAGTATCTAGAAGTGAATGTAGGAGAGGTGGCTGGGAAGATGGAAAGTTGATTCTAAGACCCCTAAGCAGATTCTGCGACCCCTAATACTGGCCCTTTGAATTTGTGGTTAAACAAAGGGATTGAGATAAGTGACTATTGGGCTCTGGGTCTTTTAGAATTTGACAGAGCTTTACAAATGGAACATGGTTTCTTTAGTGGGGATCTTACACGTTTGGAACTTTCTAGACCTGGATTAGAAAGCAGGAAAAAAATGTGGCCTCTGCTGACTGAGAATTTTTTTAGTTCAGTGGTCTAAAAGCTGAGTACAGGAGAAAGTACATACAGGGAAAGAAATAGGCTATATCAGCTGTCCAAACAATGATAGAAAGTACACTTTCCTACCATTGACAAAGATGCCGGCAGTCCCTTGTAGATAGATGACCTGTAGCAGCCAAGGAAGCTTTAAGAGGAATGTGTGGGCTTCATAGGGTGGTTTGTTTGCTTTCTGATATTGTGACGTAGTTTAGTTCCAGGTTAAGTGGATTTATGGATTCTAATATCTATAATTAGAACCTTTATCTTGTTTTGTAAAAGAATGAGCGGTGACCTTGATAATATTTATAACACAAAATAGTTCTTACTGCTTCGCTTCTTCCCATCACTGCCCCTTTACACCATCCTTCACATGTTATTTAATGGAAAGCCACTTGGAAGAGGAGTTACCAAGGATACGATTTATTAAACTTTCTTTCACAACTCATACTCCAGGCTTGTCAGTGGTATGCTCCCAGGTGGTTATTTTTAAAAATTGACCACACTTCCAGTTGTCCCTTGGTGTGCGTGGAGGATTGGCTCCAGGACTCCCTCCCTCCCCCCAGTCTCTTTCAGATACCCAAATCCACCCATGTTGAAGTCCCCCAGTCTGCTCTCCGTATCCGTGGTTGAGTCAATCTATAGATGTCGAACCCGTGTATACGGAGAGCCAACTGTAATTTGTCCTTAAGGTAAAGGATAAAAAAGTGAAAAAGCAATTGCTTTGGAAAGAAACTAATACAGAATTCTGAAAGGGAATGTATACATGTTTGCATTACTGTATGTGTATTTATTGCTGAAAATTATGTAAGTATATTGTACTTAAAAATTGTCCTGTATACTCAAACTGTAAAAGCTCAATTTTCTAGCATGTATAAGACTTTTTCAAATGAGTTTTGGTGACTTTCTGAACTCATTCAAAATATAATGCAACACCTTCCTATTGGTTTGTTACAGGAACAACTTTTTGACGTGAAGGAAGATAGAAATTTAACTATAAAATTCCATCCAAAACTTCTACTGAATTGGTAGGTAGTATTGAAAAATGTGCATCATAATTTGATGTGGCTGCCTATGCATTTGTTATGTTTGTGGGTACGCATCTTTGCTTCGTGTTCATCTGTTGCAGCTGTTAACAATTGATGATCAAAAGAAATTGAACTCACCTGATCTTCAAATTGATGTAGCCCAAGATGTTAAACCACATTTTTTAAGAAGGAGAAAACATTTGGTCACACTGTTGTTAGTAATACTAAAGAACACTTTGTACCCTTGTAAAGAAAATTATAATAATAGCTAAGATTCATGTGGCCCTTACTGTATGCCAACCATTATAGAAATGTTGTTTTACATATATTCGTATTAGTCTTCATCAACACTTAAAGTAGTTCCTGTAATTATGCCCAGTTATGGAGTTGAGGAAACTGATCTATTTTTTTTTTTTTACCCAACAGAAACTTGTGTTGTTCCCCCTCCAGGAGCTTCTCAAAACAAAAGTCAGGCACCATATTAAATACTTGTTGAATGATCACAGAAGTACGATAGTAGGTTAACGTATTTGAAGCTTCTCTCAGCTTATTTTAGAATATTATCTGACAACTTTAATGAGATTTTAATTACCATAGTACTAGAAAATGCTCTGGGGATGAAGGTGAAGTGTGATAACTGGGAAATAAGTCATCTGCTGGTAGTGGGATGAGATAAATGAGATCAGTGTATTAAATCAAGGAAATTGAAATTATTCAGTGTGCAGAAGCAAGTTTACATTTAGTTTATCTTTACATGGTATCAGACTTTAAGCTGGTACATCATGTTTGAGATATCTGGCTATTTGTCCTCCTTTTGAGGATTTCTAATTTGTTAAGTGGATTAAAAGCATTTCATGTGAGGAATAATTTTAAAAAGTATCAGTGTTTATCCTGAGGAAGAAAAAATGAAGGAGTTAAGAGTTAATGCCATCAAATATTTGAAAAGCTGTCATTTGGAGGTGGAAGAGGACTTTACCTGTGTTGTCCTAAGGGAAGATCTTACGCTATACTTGAGAGGCAGTTATTATTAAAGGCATTAAAGTGAGACACGTGCTAATAGAGTAACTAGTTGTCATGGAAGTGAGGGAACAGAGTAATCAAGCAGAAATAAGGACACAGGATAGAAATCAGAATGCCATAGAAATATGCATTTGAAAAACCAAGATCAGGAAAGGCTTCATGTAAGTTGGGAATGAAGCTTGGCCTAAAAATACCAGTAGGCACTAGGGTATGAGTGTGTGTGTGTGTGTGTGTATTCCTTGCTAGAGATACACAATTGTAGAAATTGACTGGATTAGCTGGAAACCTTGGGATATGAACTAGAGTCCTCCATTAGCAGAAAAAAAGGAACTGTGTAAGGGAAAAGTGAACCAATATTCCGTGGGTGAGTAACTTGAGAGATAATTTCATTTACTCCCCCAGAAAACCTTGATAGGCTTTTATTTCCCTCTTTAAACAGGTCAGGAAGTCGAGGTTTAGGGAGGTTAAATCTGCCTAAATTCATAAACTTCATAATTGGTAGAACTGAGATGTAGACCCATATTTGAGCCCAAAGCTCGCTCTGTCATCACAACATGTAGCATTGAGTGTAGGAAATGAAGGAAAAGGAAACAATGGTGATTCTGGTTTTCAGTATGAGAACCAGAAAACTGGTGGTACCCTGGGCTAACAAGGGATTCATAACTTCAGTGTGACAACCTCGGTTTTAGTTATATTAAGTTTAAGGAGCTTGTGATACATTGGATAGGAGAGTTCATTATGTCACTGGAAAAGTAGAGCTTGATGTGCACATGTTAACATTTGGAACTTCGGAAATAAGCCAGAGAAGGTGGAGAGGATGATAGGGGATGTGCCAACCACTCCTTTCAGAAATCTAGTCTGTGTTTTCTAATGTGGCCAAGGATTGGAAGTGAGTTTCTAACAGTTTATTTTGACAATTTGAATGGAAAAAAAGTTGACTTTTGTACATCATTTTCTTGGAGATGATTATTTTGCTGTTACTGATACTATTGAAGTTGACATAATTTCATGTTTTCTCATTAGTCTTTTCCAGTATTTTGCTCCATATCAACTTTTTTGTATATCTTTTACTGTATTGTATAATTGTATACTCTGTTCTGGTTTGGTCTTTGTATTGATAACAAATGCTCCTCCAAACAAATTTTGAAATCAACTTTTTTTTTTTTTTAACTGCAGGAGTGAAAGGGAAGCAATGCAGAAATCGGAGGGCTCTGGAGGTACACAGTTGAAAAACAGAGCAAGAGGTACAGAGCTTTGTGTTTTAAGTGAAGAGGCCAAGTTTGTTAATGGCACTTTATGTGTTACAGATGGATGCAAGATGAACTTTATTGCTTTTACCTGGTTTTTATTGATGTTCTGTTTTGTCCAGGTGACTGTGATCAGAGGACATCATCAAGCACACAGATAAAACACAGGAATGCAGTTCAAGGAAGCAAATCCTCATTGTCAACCAGTTCTCCAGAGTCTGCAAGAAAACTTCATCCTCGACCAAGTGATAAACTGAACCCTAAAACAATTAACCCGGTAGGTCCAAAACTACTCCTAACTCAGTAGATTTTTTAAAGGCACTTCACACAGTATTGAACAATTCTGGATGCTGTCTTGAGTTTTGTCCCTTTACTAGTTTTGAGCTAATGATGAGGAAGGGCCTGTGGTTATGATGATGAGGTACTGAGATAATCAGTCACATGTGGGAGTGAGTATGGAGGTAAGGAGACACAGAAGTTAACCTCTTTGGGTTATCGCATTGTAGTGCATAGAAAATTGCACTTTAGCTTTAGATTTTATTTGCAGTGTTGTTTTACTTCCCAATGAATAAACTTGTATTCAGTTGCCACAGAATGCTTTTCGTGCTTCCATAGTTGCATAAAGGTCTCTGACTGTTCCTCTGTATTCTGTAAATTAGCTCCACTAGAAATCCTAATTGTAGTACTAGCCTCCTTTGCCCTTTCCTAACAATTTAATGAGATTTAATAAACATGGGATTTATGTAATAAAAAACAGAAGTGAACACACCTGTGCAACAGCACCAGCTGTTATTTGTCCCATGCTCAACTCAGGGTGAGATATTAGTGATTTCAGCTTTCGAAGGGGATTGTGAGAGTGGCTGAAGCTCCTGACTGACTTTGATGGTAGGTAGAGTATGGCAGGTACTTAAGGAAGTAAGGGTATAGTGAGCTCTCCAAGACGGAAGGAGTGTCTGGCTTGATAAAAGAAAAGTGAAAAATAGTTGGAGCGGCTATGTTCCTTTGCTTCTTTCTGTAATCTGCAGTGTCAAGGAAATTGAATACCTGAAGAAGGCCCTAATAATCTTGTTGCTCTCACTTCCTTTGCTTATATTTAGTTGAGGGAGTTTGTGGTGACGCTTCAATTTTCTTCGTCTCTTTAAATAAGTACTTTTTGAATTAATAATATTTAATGACCTTAGTCCTAAGTTTTAGTAAAAATTGAGGAAAGTTTTGGGAAGTAGTTAAATAATTTGACCTGAGATAAGCATGTCTAAGAGATGTGAAGGCTACCAATCTAAAATGAGTTGGAAGTCAGAATAATATTTACCTCTGGACGAAAGGTAGTAGGGATTTGGGAGAGGCAGTGGAGGCATCTGGTGTGCTGGAAACTTTCAGATTTTTCAACTTTGTTAATAAACAGGTGTGTTCCTTTTATGTGAATTCACTATTGTGATTTATGCACATTAATATTTTAAATATTTGAGTTAAACTTTTTGAAATGCTAATTCAGTATAGTATGGTATATAACATTAATGCAGAGTTGAACTATGGCCTGAAATTATTAAAAATTGAATGGGATAACATTTTTCCCTTTAGACTTGGTAAAATTTGGTTAAAATCTATAAAAGTAATCCATTCATAAAAAAATTCTGATTTTGTGGGACGTGGAAGATGAAACCATGATTATCTCTAGAACAAAATAGAAAAGCAAAGGAATTGTTTAACATTTCAATCAGAAATGTAGTCTCTGTGGGTATTTTGAAAATTTAGGGATTATTTTCATGATCTGTAAGGGCCAAAAAGATCGTTTGCTTGTAGGTGGTAGAAGTAAAATATGTTGAGAGTATAGTACTAATTTGCCTTAATTTTTTCCCCAATATGTGTAGCACTTTTTTCAAATACATACATCCAGGCATATATTTGTGAGAATGTTCTCCATCTTCTATTCTCTTTTTTCAAATAACTTTCTTACCTAATATGTTTATTACTTGAAAATAATTTTTAAAACTTGTATTTCTTTGTTAGCAGAAATTGTAACTAGATAAGTGAAACATTCCTCTTGTGAATTGTTACACATAACATGGATTGAGTTCTGGAAATGAATCTTTTTTTTTTTTTTTGAGACGGCATCTTGCCCTATTGCCCGGGCTGGAGTGCAGTGGCGTGATCTGGGCTCACTGCAAGCTCTGCCTCCCGGATTCACGCCATTCGCCTGCCTCCTCAGCCTCCCGAGTAGCTGGGACTACAGGGCACCTGCCACCATGCCTGGCTAATTTTTTATATTTTTAGTAGAGATGGGGTTTCACCATGTTAGCCAGGATGGTCTCTATCTCCTGACCTCGTGATCCACCCGCCTCAGCCTCCCAAAGTGCTGGGATTACAGGCTTGAGCCACCGCGCCCGGCCAGAAATCAATCTTTTATTATAATTTAACTTGAATGAATTTTCTCCTGTGTGCTTTTACTCAAAACTCATGCTTTTCCAGAGGAAAAAAGAGCTGATTCTAAACTTTTTAAGGACATTTTAAAACTACCACTGTGTGTGACTTAAAAAACATTATGTAGTTATGTCTTTAAAACAAGTCAATTTATATTTTATAATTCAGGCAACTATTTTTTCATTTGATTATATATTTAAAGTACCATGTGATAAAATATTTACTTTTTGTTCCTAAATCCTCTTTAAGTCTCTTATTAATTATATTGAAATTATTTTTGTTGTGATTGTTTGATTGTTGAGATTAACCATCCCTTAAATCATCTTTGAGAGTAGGTATAAAATCAATCTATTCAGATATAGCAAAACTGAAAGGTTATGAAGTTATATATCTAAAAGAATACATCCAGGCATGTATTTGTGAGAATCTTCTCCATCTTCAATTCTCTCCCTCCTGCCCAGTGTAATCCTTTGTTTTTTATAGAAGCCTAAAGCCAGTTTGGAGAAATGTGACTACCTACACCATCTGTATTTGGCTGGAGGACAAAGTAGGAGATGTGCAGGAGGCGAAAAACAAATATACTTTTCCTGTACTTAACACCCCTTCTCCATAGAGTCCTCACCTTGAAGGGTCACGGTGGGAAGAGGGTAGAACTATCAATATGTGGTTTCAGCCGCCTTCAAGCATTCGGAATCGTTAGGGGAAAAAAGATGTACAAAGTGTAGTTGTGGTATTCTAATAGTGAGAGAATTGACAATTTTTCTCAATTGTGTTGCGGGGTAGAAATGATACACTTTGATACCAGCTTGGTGGTTTGAAAAGCAAGATGGCTGTGTGCGTCTGACCTCAGAAGTATGGGTGATAGTAATATTTTCATTTTTTATTTTAGTTTGGTGAACAGTCACGAGCGCCTTCTGCATTTGCAGCTATTTACTCTAAAGGAGGTATTCCTTGCAGGTAAAATCAATACAATTTATAACTGACCAAATTATTCAAAATCATTTGAGTAAAATCAATACAGTTTAGTTTAAATGTATTGTAAGTTTTATTTACTAGTGAGGTTGAAATAAAGGTGACTGTATTCACACTTTCTTTTGGACTGTTACAGATCCCTGGATGTTGTTGAAGATAACCATTTTAATTCCAAAATACAGTTATTGGGATATATGATAAACCATCAATTAGTTTAAGAAATTTACATAAACCCTTTTTCTGAAATAAACAATTTAAGCATTCACAGACTTGGGCAAGTTGCAAATTAAAAAATCCTATCTTGTTGGTAAAATGAAAGTTGTCAATTTAATGAAATTATTTCTGTCTCATAATAAATACATATGGCCGTTTTTGCTTCCTTTTGGATATAATTCTTGCTGCCTTTCTAGACAGATGTCAGAACTATTTTTTTAAAAATACAGACTATGGATAATATATCATTTTATGATTTATTTCTATAAAGCATTTCTTCAGAGTACATCCAGTTTTAGCCTGTTCTAGATGATAGAAAATTTTATTTTGATTGTGGAAAGGATTACAGCATTTATTTATTTTTGTTCCAAAGTTAAAGAAATCTAGTTTTTTAATGGTATTTTCAGATTTGGAGTGAAAAATAAGCTCAATAAATACTCTTCAGTTTATTGTTATTTCATATTTAGATTCTGATTTGAAACCCTATTTAAAGGTTCTTAACTCTCTACTCCCCACCCCTCAACAATTTATTGTTGCAAAAATGTAAAAACAATTTTACAGAGACGTCTTGCTCTTATGAAAATAAGCCTAAAGGAGTCAAGAAGTTGAGAACATTACAAAGGAGTTCAGAGAAGGATTTAGGTTGATGGATTAAGTTCACTATCATGATTGTGATGATAGTTCCTTGAGTGTATTTGTACATAGAAACATACCAAATTGTATACATTAAATATGTGCAGTTTATTGCAAATCAGTTATTCCTCAATAAAGGCTGTAATCCCAGCACTTTGGGAGGCTAAGGCAAGTGGATCACCTGAGGTCAGGAGTTCGAGACCAGCCTGACCAACATGGAAAAATCCCATCTCCACTAAAAAAAAAAAAAAGCAAGCCGGGTGTGGTGGCACATGCCTGTAATCCCAGCTACTCAGGAGGCTGAGGCAGGAAAATTGCTTGAACCTGGGAGGCAGAGGTTGCGGTGAGCCAAGATCGCGCCATTGCACTTGAGCCTGGGCAACAAGAGCGAAACTCCATCTCAAAAACAAAACAAAGCAAAAAAAAAAAACAGTTAAAAGAGGCAGAAACCCTAATTCAGGGGCCACCACTTTGTAACCCTGAATGGGCCATTTTACCTTCCTGGCCTCAGTTTTCTTCTCTTTAACAGGGAGAAAACTTGGTTTTGCCTTCAGGTTGTTAGTGTTAGGGTTACATGATCTATATCTGAAAAAGAATGTTCCTTGTACAACATTTTTAATAATTACATTTTGTTTGCATTTTTTCATTTCTGTAGATTACCTACTGTGTCATATTACCAAAAGATATCACCTGGAACGTTTGCGTTAAGATTCACAGACAGCAACATGCTTAAGCACCAAAACTGTAACCTTAACACATGTGGGGTCACTTTTGCTGAAAGAGTAGGATTTTGTAGGATTATTGACATTGCTTTGTAAAATGTCCTTGTTCTAATATGGTTATGCTCTATGTTAGATGATACCTGCTTAATATAGAATTATATTTTTCTTGTTGCATTCACTGACTTTTATATTTTAGATTGGTACATGGTTCAGTAAAACACAGATTACAGTGGGAATGTCCTCCTGAAAGTCTTTCATTTGATCCACTTCTTATTACTTTAGCCGAGGTAAATATGCTATCTCTTCTATTAGGAAAAAAATGTTAAAAATTACATTAAATGTTACTTTGTAGCTTGTCAGTAAATTTCATTCTGTGCTTTTGAAAAAGGAAGCACACAATAGGCATTGAAACACCACACCCCCTTAGGAAATAATTATGATTCTTATATAGTTATTTGAAATTGATTAATCAGCTTTGTAAACATGGAATTAGTCTGCGTCGGGATTTATAGATAACTGGATGAAATATTTGTACTTATTTAAAAAAATACGTGGACTCATAATGAGGAGAGAGATTTTTTGGTAGTAGTGAAATCAGGGAAACATCCGGGATTAAACTGAAAACTGTCAGATAGTGGTAAGTGGTTCTGTGTACAACCAATCGTGTTGACATGATGTGTTTCTTAGGGAATTGAGACTACCTACCTAAGTGTTCTTTTGGAGAACACTCCAGCCCTCTGCTTTACTTGTACATTTCCAGTACAATATCATGGAGGTAGTTTTATAGGCTATTAAAAAAAAAAAAAAAACTTTTGATAGCTTTCTTTATATAGTTTAACATTTGTGTCAGGAAAAATGTTGGTGGAGTCTTAGCTTCAAGTGAATCATTGCTATCTTCTATGAATTTTATTCCTAGAATTAGAATCAGAAGTAGAGCAATGAATTAACCAGCTGTCTTGTATTTAAACTTTTAATTACTTGCCTTGTTAAAAGTTGAGGATCATTTTGTTGTCATTAGTAAGAAACAAATGATTCGAGTTTGGGTGATATTAGTAATAAAACACCTGAGTTCTTTCACTGATAGTTTTACTTAGATTAGTTACTACTGTGTAACTTACTCTATAAACATGGCAGTACCTTTTTAGGTTAATATCATTTGCCTTTCCTATAAAACCTGTGGGGAGGACCAAGTGGGAGCAGAAGAGAAAAAAGTAATTTTTCCAACTGAGATTCTTTAATTAAAATGAAACATCAAAGTCTCTAGTTCCTCCTTTAATTTTCCAAATATGTTTACTCTCTTAAGAGTAAACTAACCAGTTACTAGCAAAAACTGTAAGTTTTTGTTTTTCTTAATTTATTGCTCAGTATTACAGGTAGTGTATTTTTACAGGTAGCCTATTTTGAAATTCAGTTCTGAATTTGGCATTAAAGGTTAGATTGGGTACTGTGGCTCATGCTTGTAATCCCAGCACTTTAGGAGGCCAAGGCGAGAGGATCAATTGAGCCCAGAAGTTTGAGACCAGCTTGAGCAACATAGGGAGACCCTGTTTCTACAAAAGAAAAAAAAATTCACGTTAGCCAGGCACAGTAGAGTGAGATGCTGTCTCAAACACACACACACACACACACACACACACACACACACACACACACACAAAATTTGTGATGTTTCCTTAGTTCTTATTTAAACTTTAAGCCTTTTGTACCGGGTAGCAAACCATGTTTTTGTTGTTGTTGTTGTTGTTGTTTGTTTTTTTTTTTAGACTAATCAAAACTGGTGATAGCTTGGAAAGTGTACTGTAGCTAATCACATTGTACAGGGAGTGCTTTAATTTCGGATATCTTTAAAGGGACTCTAACTTCTGCTTAAAGTCAGCTTTTTATGTACCTATTGTCCAAATGTCAATGCTTTTCTTTCTGTATTGAGTAGATGTTTGTCTTTCTCCTGGCCTCATTTTCTAACAGATAAGTAGTGACAGAAGAACCGTGGCTGAAATCCACTTCAGCTTTTAATCTGAGAGTTATCTCTAAAATGAATAGGATACAGGACACTGCTAAGATGATAGAACCTGTGATCCAAAATGATACCCATGTGCTTGGCAGGATGGTTTTCAAAAGCATGACACCTTTGAGGAAGGGAAATGTTTCATTACTATTTGGAAGCAGATATTTAGGTCTGAAGGACAAATTAGTTGAAAGTTAGTATTTCTAAGCATAATTTTGCAGCTGATTATATTTATTCACTTCATAGATAATTAGTCAAACTGAAGGAGTTTACTGTTGATTTTGTTTGTTTTGCTTTATCATTTTGAAAAAAGTCAGATGGCCCTTTTATCTTGACTCACTGTGATTGGTAAAATCATAAAAGAGTCCTAGCTAATTGTTTCTAATGCATTTAGGGTGAAAGGCATAGTGAGATATGATCTGCAGTTTTTAAAAAATATTTTCATACTGCATTTCAGTATTACAAATGATATTTAAAATCTTAACATGCCTTTAAAATGCATATAGTATAATACTTGCTTTCTAAATATGTTAATATAGAATACTTAAATATGAAGGAAATTTATTTTAGAAACTTATTAAGTCATAAAATCACTAAATGTAGTGGGTCTCATAGCCGTGCATTCATAAAGAAGTGGTTATAAACAGAGTAATATGCTCTGCTTTCAGAAAGTGTTTGAGTGTGCGTAACAAAATGTTTTTATTATCCTAGTGAGTTCCCCTTCTTTTTTCTGTATTTTCATTTACCTTTCCTTTTCCTCCTTCCATTTCCTGCTTTTTCCTTCCTCCCTATTTTCTCTTTCTTTTTATATTTTTTCTTGCCTCCCCTGTTTTTCATTTCTTTTCTTTTCCTTTTTCTTATTTTTTTCTTTCTCTTCTCCCTTCCTTCCCTTCTGTGGGTAGAGATTACTCCTGTCTCCTGTACGGCTGGCCCTTCCTATCCATGGGTTCCACATCTGGGGTTTCAACCAGCTGCAGATAGAAACTATTAAAAAAAATACAGTGCAACAATAAAAAATACAAATAAAACAATACAATATAAAAATTATGAAGCATTTGCATTGTGATAGGATTATAAGTAATCTAGAGATGATTTAAACTATATGAGAGTATGTGCACATAGTGTGCTATTTTATATGAAGAATTTTAGTATCCACAGGTTTTGGTATCCATTGGGATCCTGGAACCAGTCTCCCTTGGGATACCAAGGGACCCTTTGTCTCACAGTTTCTCAGTGTAACTGAAATTTTAACTGCTGAAATTGTAATTATGATTAGGAAAACAAGAATGAAACTTGATTTTTGTTTAAGCAAGTAAACATTCAATTTTTCTGTTATTACCATAATGAAATGGGTAGTAAATCATGTTTCCTCTTGGTCTTTGGCAGGGTCTGAGAGAAACCAAGCATCCATACACCTTTGTGTCAAAGGAGGGTTTTAGAGAATTACTTTTGGTCAGAGGTGCTTCTGAAAAAGCTGTTCCTTTGCTACCTAGACTGATTCCTGTGCTAAAGGCAGCTCTGGTATGTCATGTATTTCATTGTACTTTATAGTTGAAAACATATGATAGAAAAGAAAGCTGTAATGTATTTAAAATATTGTGTGTCTTTTTTCCTCCAAATTATATGCAAATTAGTTCTTTATCTGTGATTTTGATGTATTTGCAGAATTAGGGAACTGTTACTCAGGGCCAGATAACTACATACTTGAAGACATCTTTAGAGGATGTACTAAAGGTAAAAAGGGACATTTTAAGTAATTTGAGGAAGTAATCAACCTCAAATCAGTCTTTCTGTATGCTAGATATATTTTAGTTAATGCTTCAGTCAGTTGGAAAATTTTCTTTTTGCTTCTAGATGTCCTGTGTTGAAGGTTATTTTTAAAATTCTAGGTTTTGTTGACTATCTTCTGATTTTAGATGTTTAATCTTACCGTTTTCTCTACTTGCTTACCCTTTTGTCTAATGTATCTTCTTTCCTTTTCTCCTCTCTTCCCTGATGCCCCTACATCCCCAACTAACCAACCTTACAGGTCCATTCGGATGATGAAGTGTTTGAAAGAGGATTGAATGCCCTAGTTCAGCTAAGTGTTGTTGTTGGTCCTTCTCTAAACGACCATCTGAAGCATCTGCTTACAAGCGTAAGTACTGCAGAGATTAGATAATGATTGGCTGTATGTATCATGCACCAATCATCTCTCTTTATGATTTAACAACTTCAAATCTTTAACTCAAAACTTTAAAAATCTTATCCTTAACAAAAAATATAGAACTCATTCATAAAACATTTTACTAATGGACAGTATTAGTTTTATTATTATTTTTTTTAATGGAAAACAGCTACATGAGCAGAGTTTAGGGTTATAATAAAAAGTAAACCAGCCAGGCTTGGTGGCTCACGCCTGTAATCCTAGTGCTTTGGGGGCGGAGGTGGGTGGATTGCCTGAGCTCAGGAGTTTCAGACCAGCCTGGGCAACATGGTGAAACCCCATCTCTACTAGAATACAAAATGTTAGCCAAGTGTGGTGGCATGCGCCTGTAGTCTCAGCTTCAGGAGGCTGAAGGAGAATTGCTTGAACGTGGGAGGCGGAGGTTATAGTGAGACGTGATTGTGCCACTGCACTCCAGCCTTGGTGACAGAGCAAGACTTGGTCAAATAAAATAAAATAAAAGGTTGAATGGATAAAAGCTAATGAACAGTAAGATGGTATTATGTTCATGTTGAATAACTATGAATTATAAGCAGTGCTCATACCCTGTCTTGTGTGATCATATATTACCAAACACATTTAAGTATTTTTGGTTTTCATTGTGATGTTTTAGTGAATCTGTAAATTGCATTCAGGAAGAGACTTTTTCCTGATATGTGTAACTTTAGTCCTTACTATAAATATTTACTGGGACCCTGTGCAGCTCCTGAGGTTCCCAAGACCACTCTTAGGTTTGATGATTTGCCAGAACGATCCATGGAACTCAGGAAAGCTGTTATTCACTGTTAAGGTTTCTTATAACAAAAAAAGATTAAAAGCAGCATAGGTAAGAGGCACATAGGGCAGGGTCCAAGAGATACCGGGCATGGAGTTTTCAGTTTTCTTCTCGTAGTGGAGTTGTTCATGGAGTGTTTACTTCTTCCAGCAACAATGTGTGGCAACGTGCATGGAGTATTGCCAACTAGAGAAGCTCACCTGAGCCTTAGTGTCCAGGATTTTTATTGGTGTCTGTCATGCAGGCAAGACTGCCTGTCTGTGTGGTTGACATTAGTCTACACCCTCTCTAGAAGTCGAACTAATACCCTGTGAACCAAAGTTCTCATCATAAATCACATTGTATAGACTACCTGGTGTTGCCCGAAACTCCCACGTTGACAAGGATACCCTATCTGGCAGGACATTCCAAGAGCTTAGAGGTTATCATTCAAGAGCTAGGGGCAAGGGCCAAACATTAGGCAAGGGACATACATACCGTTAGAAAGATTAACGTCTTAGGTAGGACCTCCCTGTCTGCGTTCTTCTGTATTTCACAGAAGATCATGGGTCCACTGTTTTTTCTTGGATCCATCCATATGAGAGATCCTAGAACTATATTTTTAACTTTCTATTCCACAAATAGTGTAATACACACCAAGAACCACCTGGTTAACACTGTAAGAAGTAGGGGCGATGGTGACTATCAGGATAGATATGCTCATAAGTAGTAGATGAAATTCCATGAGGTTTCAGGTGAGGAGAAGACATAGTGAGAATAGACTCTCAAGCCTTGACATTTGAGGAGTCTTAGGACAGAAGAAAGAGAATCTTGGCAGATAATTGTAAGCTTCATGTTAGGGGGTGTGGCTGACCAGCTACAGGAATTTCACACTAGTGTACAAAGTGATTCATTGAAGTATTCAGTAGTTTAATAATCATCTCTTGCACTCTGCTGTCCTGTTTTGTGCCAGGTGTGCCAAGCATTGAGAAGATAATCCTGAGCAGAAACAGGCATGCTCTCAGCCCTTGTGGAGATTGTTGGTTTTGATTTTGTTTTTTGTGTTTGTTTTTTGCAGGTGGGTGGGGGATGTAGAAATAAGCAGCAAGGACATCTGCTGAGAATATTGGGATGGAGTCAAGGGGAAGTGATATGTAGATAAAAGGAATCACACTGGATCCTTCCTCAAAGTCAGTCAAGCAAGGCTTCCTAAATAGCCTCTCAGTCCCACCTCCAGTGGCAGAAAAGGCCAGATTAACAATTGTACACATTTGTTTTGTTTTTTAATCTTTCTGGGTCAGTGGCATTTATCTTTGGTCACTTACATTCCTCAGAGCTCTCATTTTCCTAGACAAGGACTGACTGAAAGGTTACCTAGCTTTCCTGGGCTGCCAGCATTTTGGGAAGACCTAGACACCACCCTGACCGTCCGATCCTGGTATTATATAAAGAGCTCTAGAAATAGGTTGTGTGAGGGTTAGTTCCTGGTCTGTTACCACTCACTATGAGACAGACACCACTGAGGATGTCAGTGAGTTGCTATCAGACCCCCTTCGTCCCTCACCCCCATCTTCCATACCTTTTAGCCTCAAAGCCTTGTTTTTCATCTGGTTTATAGACTTCTACATTAGATGCTTATTGGAAGAAAGGGTATTCTTCTAGAAGAAATTTTTCAAAACCAGTTACTGAACCCCTATATACAACTCATTTTTTCCTCTATGCAAAATAAACTATACCTTTCCTGAGCTACAAATGTATGTGACTTTACAGAGGGAATAAATCACCTGAAAATCTTGCTTAAAATGCAGAATCTGGGCTTCTGCCCTGGGATTCCGGTTAAGTATGGCATGAGACCCAAGAATCTGCATTTTTAAACAGCATCTCAAGTGATTCTGATGCTGATGGCCCCTGGATCTGCCTATTAACCTCTGTGCTATACAGGGTGTATACAGATTCAGTAGGGTAATACAGTCTGAGGAAAGCAACTGGAAGACTAGAGAGGGACCCTCTCTATCCCCAGGGCGTTCACTATTACCAAATTACTCATGTAAATCCTCTGTCCTTTGTCCTCTCTTCCCTTTTTATTGCGGGAAAATGTGTGCTTTAGAGGCAAAGCTTTCCATCATGGTCTTCAATGCTCTTGCAGATTACAAAATCGCAAAATATGCTGTTTTATAGAAAACTTAAGATAGCATACTGTAGCAGATTTTATAGGATTGGTTTTACTTGAAATAATGTAAATTGTTTTTTAAAACAAATACAGAGGTACCTATAACATAAATTTCAATGAGATGCTTCCTAAGAGAAGCCTTGAAATCTAAAACAAGGGGTGCTTCTGAAGATTTACTTATGCATATGGTGAACATTGTTAAGTTTAAAGTCATTTCGTTTCCCCCAATCTTACTTTAAAAGCTTTCCAAGAGATTAATGGACAAGAAATTCAAAGAGCCAATCACCAGTGCATTACAAAAGCTAGAGCAATGTGGCGGAAGTGTAAGTAGAATCTTATACCTTAAGTCTTTTTTTTTTTTTTTTTTAAACTTTTAGGCATATTATTAAATCGACTATATATTTAACATATACTGTCTCATTTCAGCCACGGGTAACTATGTGAAATTGATACTGTTATTTTCCTTTTAGAACTCAGAGTTTCTATCTCTAGGTCAAGCCCTGCTGCTCAGACCAGACTCAGATTGAATAAATGTAGGGCTTGTGTACTTTCACAGTGCTTAATATGGCATTCCATGTGGCACAGTGGTACAGTTTTTTTTTCTTTAAAGTATTTTCAGTGGTTTAGTTTTGACCATTGAAAAGTTCAGAAAACCAAATGATTAACTTAGCTCATTGAGGAAAAATACTTTTTTCTCTTTCATTTGCTGTCTTTCTGACTCAGACGTCCAGATGATTGCACTATTCTGTCTGTAAGTGCGTGCATACCACGTAGGTGTAGACACACACACACACACATGCACACACAGTGCTGGAATAGTTTAATTGGTTATTCTAACTTTTCAAGGTACAAAAATATGGAGGATTTCATAACTATATGGTGTCAAATTACTAGACTAATTGAACTTTCAGCATTTGAAGGAAGCATTCAGATAATCTCATCTTAGAAATATTTCCATAAAAGCAGTCCTTGCTTGTGGGAATTTTGTTTAATCAGATCTTAATGATAGAATTACATGTGACTATCTTAACATTGCATAATTTAGTTCCATTCTAGGTACTTCTGAAGGAATTAGTTATGAGAAGATTTGCCTGATCATATACAATTTTTAAAATGGCAGACATAAAGCTTTAGCGAAATTACCTCGTTTGACCAATTTCAGTGGGTTGTTTGATTATATTCTTTCCATGATGGATGCCTAGAATACAGTTTACAAGAGGAAGTAAGTCCCAAAGCCTACTAGGTAATAAATTTCTTTGTTGTGTTTGGGTCCTAGGCAGAGAATTAGCATTCGGACACCTTGAGGAGCTGTGCAGAACCTTCCCCTAGCTAATCCCAAGTCTCCTCTGCAGCAAGGAAATTCTTGCTTGCTCTTCTGAGAATTTAAATGCAAAATATATTTCTCCTTTCTTCTTCTGTGGAGTGGAAGTGAACAAATGCTAAATAATGATGCCACAGCTTTTCAGTGGGAAACCCTCCCTAGGTAGTTTTCCATATCCTGTGGGCCAGCATGGGAAATGGGACAAGTAGAAAGGGACAGGCCAAGCATATTAGATTTTGTGGTGGGAGTGGAGGGAGTGTGGAGGAGGAGATAGTATACATGTAAATAAAGTTTAGAAACAACATATTAAGATTTGGAAGGGGAACACAGGTGTACTTGAGCAATCCAGGATCCCAGAAATACCAAATTCTTTCTTTACTACTCCATCTTACTAGCTTTGAATGTTGCTAATACAGAATTTTTAAAAAGATTTTGTAGTTAATTACTTATTTTCTTCTGACTTCTCTTGTTTTCTCGTTATGTCCTACATAATATTTTAATAATAGATTGCAATAGAAAATTTTCTATTGCAATTACATGCCAAAGACTTTCTCTTGGCTTAATTACTATTGTGCTAGCCTCTATTACTTTGTAATCCTTCATGAAATTAATGCTCTTTTTTCTCTTCTGAGAGCGTAAAAGCTTATATATATCTTCCTTTCTTTAAATATTAGAAATAAGTCTTTAAAAATGAGTGTTCTTAGTTGTGGTTTCTCATTTCTTAGGACTTGTGTATATCAATGATGGAACTATTCAACGTCTGGGTACAGGAAAATATCTGTTGCAGATAGTCAGTGTTACTTTCTTAGAACTGATCTGCCTTAAATTTGAAATCAGTTCATTCTTAGCCTGATTTGTTTTTTTTTCTAAGTGAAATGCATATTTATTTTGGGAAAGGCACAACACAAATCCTGATCTTTATTGGTTGTTTGGGAACTTAATACATGGCAGGTACTCTGCAGAGTACTTTTTAGACATGAAACTCATTTACTCTTCCTAGTCATCAGAGGGAGATTCTATTGTTATCTCCCTCTAAAGATCAAGAAACTTAGGCACAGAGAAGTAATTAGTCCAGGTTTGACAAATAAGTGACCAGTAGATGCTGAATTCAAATACTGGTAGTCTGGCTTCTAACTACTTCTCTAGTTAGATACTTCAAAAAAAAAAGAAAAAAGAGCCTATATTTTATTTAACACAGCGAAAAGCCCTTCTTATTTCATCATTTTGTTCTTACCCCCTTTTTTTTGTTCTGAGTTTTGGATACTTTCTAGGCACATTCCTGCAAATACAATACCTGTTAGGGGAAGTCTGCATGATACTAATGATGCTCAATTTTTTCTGTTGACAGGGAAGCCTTAGCATCATCAAATCTAAAATTCCAACGTACTGCTCCATATGCTGTTGAAGAAGGGAGCCAACAAAAATTGTTTTTACTGCCTGGTGACGTGTCAAACACTGACCGTGGGTACTCATGGAACCTTTATTCCATGTATTTTATTCTTTTGTAAATCACAGCCACCCTTCATTATTTACTAGGTTAAGATGAATATACGCTGAATCAAAGTTATTCAGCAACAAAAAAGAACAGTTACTAATGGAAAGTTACTAAAATAAGTTCTGTAAGAGTACAATTTTCTGAGGTTTTTTTTTAAATTTTTATTATTTGTGCAAAGAACCATTATTGAGTTGGCAAGATAAGATGCATTTGTATTTTCTGGTGCCTTTTTATTTATAACACTTTTTTGGCAAACAATTTGTAGCTGTGCCCTGATTTTTATAGACAGTTTGCCGTTTCTTGGGTTTAATATTTAACAAGACCGTAGAAATTTAAAATAGTGGACAAATGTTTGTGAATACACTTTTTAAAAATTGTTTTAAAAGAGAGAAGGGATCTTGCTTTGTTGCCAGACTGCAGTGCAGTGGCATGATCATAGCTCACTGCAAGCCTCAAATTTTAGTGCACAGATGATCCTTTCATCTTAGCCTCCCGATTAGCTGGGACTACATGGTGGCACATGCCACCATGCCTGGCTAATTTTAAAATTTGCTTGTAGAGATGGGATCTCACTCTGTTGTCCAGGCTGGTCTAAGTTCTGGCCAGTGATCCTCCCACAATGAACTTCCAAAGTGCTGGGATTACAAGTGTGAGCCACCATGCCTGGCCCCATGAATACACTATTAATTATTGTTTGTAAATATGTATCGTATAATGTACAATGCTTGGAAAATTTTTTCAGAGTATTCTAGAATAGTTTAAGAAATTTTTTCTAATTCTGTCAATTCTATTACAAGTATGTTGTTTATTACAACTCATTACAACTACCTAAATTTTACGTGTTAACTCTATTTAAGTAAATACTATTTTTGCATTTCATAGCCAGAAAATACTGATGTTCACATAAGGATATTCAGCAATTAAAATGTTAAAACTTGTACATGCATTGATGGATTTTGTTGTGCTTACGTTTAGCAATTTTTAAGAAGCTTTTAAAACTTAATTTAGACATAGTTCAGAATTTTGATGTAATAGAAGCGATTCCTTCTGCAAGAGAGGAGCAGAGGAGAGGAAGAGAAATGGAAAACAAGAATAAGACCTTCTATCTTATGAGCAAAAGGAGAGGCCATAGAGATTTCTGTAGCCACACCGAATCCAAGGCATGAAAGGGATGGAAAGGAAAGATGGGTCTTGCGGAGCAGCAGTGTTGCATCTCAGCAGCTTTGCAGAATGCACTTTCCTTGCTCTATTCCCCAAACACCTGGAGTGACCTCTACGATTCTCATTTCAGGTATAATCTCACAACTGTAATTTGAACAACTGTAATTTGAAAGAGTACAAGTAATTTCTGAGGATTCTTAATGTAGAAATGCCCACCCTGCCTCAGAGCTTGTCCTTCCTGAGCCCTTTGTCTAGCATACTTTTTCCTCTGGTCTCTACTCCCTTGTCACATCCTCTGATCATACTAGCTACAACAGCTGCCTGCCCACTGGCCTTGCTTTTACCTGTTTTCATTGCATTTAGGACCACCCAGAGCTATCTGCAATCTAGAAAATAGTATAAGATTTAGTTTTAAATCTAATAATTACAAAAAATTCTTGGAAAAGACCTATAATATAGACAGTAGAGTTATAAACATTTTATTTTGCTTTTATTTTTTCTTTTTGAAATACAAAATGTGCACATTGAGTTTACACAAACACGCGATGGCAAATTTCAGTGTACAGGTATTGTACTACTCTTAATTTCTACACTGGTGATAGCAGGGCAGCTTTCAACATCCTATCTCTACACCAGAATAGATACCTGATTTATTGTTGCAAAGACAGTTGCAAATTTCCTCCTTCTGTAGCCTCTTGGTCTTTGTGATATTTCTACAAAACAGGGACGATGTGTGTGTCTTTAGTAATGTGGCAACTTTACAGTTTTGGCTGAGATGATTAAAAATAATCTGAATTGTTGGAATTTTATGATGCACTAAATCATATTGTAATCTGGATTAGTTGTTGAGCACTTATTTTCTACTGAATCTTGGTAGTAGTTGTCAATGTAATGGAACCAAAGTGAATTTTGCTTGCTGTTTGTTCGTTCCTAGTAGACAGGGGGGTAGTCAAGGTTTCTTTGTCCCTGAATGGCTTGTAATATAAACATGCTGTAAGGAAGTCAGGGGAAAGAGGACAGATTTGGCCTTTAATGCTGTTAGGATTACTTATTATTAAGCCTTAACATATACTGGAAGATAGATATCCTGACCCTTTGCATATGTCTGTAAACATCCTTGTTTTGTTTGATGCCATCTTGAACTTCCACTTGATGATACAATGGAAAACAGCCTGTAAGATTAAACAAATCCAAAATTATATATAGTATATAGGCCTTGGCTATAATGTATGATGGAAAATTAAATGCTTACTAAGTTTCATTAGGCATATGCTGATATCTGATGATAAATTTTTAAATGTTTAAAAATACCAGATAAAATTAGAAGGTGGGAAGGAAGGCCATAGAAACTGGAACTATGTGTTTAATTGTAGTAATCTTATTTGTACAGCATTCAGACATGAAAATTAATTTAATTTCTGGAAATTAAATGCAGATGTCAGTATATTAGAAAACCATTCAAAATCCTAGGACTGAATACATACAAATGAGTAGCAAAAAACACTGGTATTTTAAAATCACTGATATGTGAAAGCCTCAATAATCCCATGGCTAAGGAATCAATAAAACTATATGCCAGATTCTATTACTTTTGAATATTCACAGAGTATGAAATGAGTTAGAACATCCCATGAACTCAGTGGCATTATGGAAAGGATGCAAATTTATAACTGAGAAACTCAAATCTTTTGGGGATTGCTTTATATTAAAACAAAGCTTGTTTGCATAATATGCTTCAGTGTCAAGCTGAGCAATCTATGCTAAAAGTGGTAGCTCCGACTTTAAGGGTGGTAGAATAGTTCACATTTGTCTGTTGGATTCAGGATCTAGTTGACAAGTTAAATCACATTTTCAAAGAGCTGCATGGAGCGCATTATGTTTTCATCCTGTAAGGGAGAAACATAGAGCGATTAAATTCATCATACCTGCAAGGGAAAGTACACTATTTTGCCCCTAAGTATTGCCCCCTTCCACCAACCACCTATGCCAAAAGCTCAAATATTAAGTGTTTGCAAATATAAATGCCATTCTATCCGTTTTCCACATAGATCACAATGAAGGAGGACCCATTTTATATTTTGTGGAGTGTATTGACGGCATTAAACCACTTTATTTAAATCTTTACTTGGTATTTAATAGAGGATATTTCTCAAATCATAATGCCAAAATGGAAACTACAGAGGCGCAGAGGTAAGTCAAAGCAAATGAGAATTTTGGCATTCTGTGTAGATGATCATAGGCCAAATCACACAGACTTTTATACAGGTACAAGGAAAATTGTGTGTGTGTATGAGCCAGTAGTTCATGAAGACTGGAGGCTGGAGTGTAGGAGGCAGGATAGTGGATTAAGAGGGAACATGTTTGCAGTAATCATCTCTCTCTCTGTCTGCAAGTTATGGCTAAATCTGTGTTGCCTGAAGGAGACTTTAAAAATGAATGGTCTCCATTACAGAGAAAGGATTGGGGAGCAGAAATGACTGCTCAGTGGCTGTGTTCAGTTTAGCGTATTCTTTAGAAATGAGTTAGGGGGCAGACTTTTTGCATTATTGGAGCACTTGTCGGTTGCATGTGAATAGCACTTAGTGAGCTGTTTATGGTAGTGGTAAATGGTGGCTGAACCAACAATGGCTTCCACTGCTAGAAACCAAGTAACATCATCACCACCAAGCAGCTTAATGTCACCAAACTAATTCTCTCAAAGACCACCACATTGAAATCCAAGTTGAGAAACAAGCAGACATCCAGAAAGGTAAGAACAACAATTTAAAAATACAAATACAGAAACAGATTTGTTTTCATGATTATTTGAATTTTTTTTTTCGAGGCGGACTCTATTTCTATTGCCCATCATTCTGGAGTGCAATAGCACAATCATGCCTCAGCTGGGCTCAAGTGATCCTCCCAAGTAGCACGTACCACCATGCCCAGCTAACTTAATTTTTTTTTTTTTGTAGAGATGGGGTCTTGCTATGTTGCCCAGATTGGTCTCAAGTTATTTTCCTGCCTCAGCCTCCCAAAGTGCTGGGATTACAGTTGTGAGCTACTGTACCAGGCCTTAACAATTTTTAACTGTGGTTCTACTCACACATCAAGTCAGATAATTCTAAGTAAGCTAACACTGGTTTCTTCGATAACAGGCTACTACCTGCAGTTCTCTTCAGAGAAAATTTTCCACTGTTTCTTTTTTTGTGACAGACGACCATTAGTGAGTTCAGCCAAAGAGCCATTTCTTGTCCACATACACTAAAATAATGATTTTTCTCTTAGAAATCAGATAGAAGCTTGGCCTGTTGTGATGCATACTTGGCTATTTAGGAATTCTAATTCTATGGAAATATGGTAGATAATATATGAGTTATGCTATGTCTGTGCAAAGAGCAATTCAAATTCTCATATATGTTTTATCCTCCATGATGAATACTCTCTAAGGAATTGGGGAATCAAAAACACAGTACAGGCTGGGTGCGGTGGCTCACGCCTGTAATCCCAGCACTTTGGGAGGTTGAGGTGGGTGGATCATGAGGTCAGGAGATAGAGACCATGGTTAAACCCTGTCTCTACTAAAAATAAAAAATTAGCCAGGTGCAGTGGCGGGTGCCTATAGCCCCAGCTACTCGGGAGGCTGAAGCAGGAGAATGGTGTGAACCTGGGAGGCAGAGCTTGCAGTGAGCCGAGATCACAGCACTGCACTCCAGCCTAGGCAACATAGTGAGACTCCGTCAAAAAAAAGTACATGTGCAACTTTTGTATCCTCAAAAAGATATGGAGGGTTTCCTCCATAGCTTGACTCAGTAGGCACTCTGACTCAGTAGGCACTCTAAATGTTGATTATGTAATTGGTGCTTGTTTTTAGCAGGTTGCAGAAGTGGTAAACTTAGGCATATGATCTCTGTGTTTTGCCCAGTTCATGGTAGCTGGCTGCTAATACTCAGTTTAGCTGTTATGATAGCTGAAGTGATAGTTCTTATACTTTCATTACTTACTTTTTGGCAGCTTTCAATGAACTCATCTATGGTAACAACCCCATCTTTATTTTTGTCCATTTTCTGTTCAGGAAGAAGACAAAAAATTATATTTAGCCTTTTATTTCACGTGGAGGAACTGTTTCAGAGCAGAAACCAGTAGTTTCTTAGAGATAAAAATGATAGGGCCAAATCCTTCTGGCTGTTCTCTTTTCAATATAATATGGTGAAGATTTAGAGTCACTCTGTCCTAGGTAAAATCCTACCTTTTAGATATGACAGAGCTCGGCCAATTTGCTGAAACTTTCAGAGCTTTCTTTTTGTCTCATCTGTAAAATGGGATTAATGAGGATTTATAGGATTCTTGTAAAAACTGAATGAAAACAAAACTTATGAGATATGAGAATTGTTTAAATGTATCTTGGATTTAGTGAATGTTCAATGAGTGTAGTTATCAGCATTGCAAATTCAAAACCAAAGCTATTACATTAATAGGATGGTAAATACTGTTTTGTCGCAGTAAAAATTATTTTCCTTTGCTTCCTTTTGAATCATCGTGGTGCTTGGCAAACATCAGGAAATGTTCTCCTAATTTCATTCCCTCTTGACTTCTGTTTTCATTCCTACCTGAAAAAATGTTTCGACGTGTTGTCTGGGAGCATCTTCTTTGAGGACAGGATATGTACATTTACCCATCATGTCGTATATTGCTTTCATTATATCAAGCATTTCCTGAAAAGTAAAAGGCTTATGTGAGATTTCCTGAAAAGTAAAAGGCTTATGTGAGGTTGCACACATGTATGAAGAAACCATTCTAAGAAGC